GAAGAATAGGTCAGTTACCTGAGTGAGGACACAATAACCTCATACAGGCAACTGCTCCTTCCTGTGTATGACACTCATTTTGCTCTAGGCCTTTTTATGTCACTCAGCCATTCTTCCCTCTTGTTCACAGCACTTTCAGGAACACAGATTGCAAATGTGGCTCTTTCTTCCGGGAGTCTGCATAAAGGGGCTGAACTTGGAAGGATGTACTCTGAGGAACAGAAACCAGCTTCCCTTTTAGCCAGAAGGGACTCATTTGAGATTTGAATCTCATTGATTCAAAGCAAATGACAGGTCAAATTTGTAGAAGTCCAGTGGAACACAGGATTCTGAACTCACAACTCCACTGGCCTTATTTGGCCTTCATGAACAACACAGAAAGCCACACTCCCCAGCTCTCCCAGCTGATAAAGTTGCAGCACAATGCCACAACACGGTGTTAATCAGCAGTCTTAGAATATGATGCTACCTTCACAGGCAGGTCACCAGCATAACTGAAGTCAACTGAACTACAATGAAAAGCAGAGAACCGTATGAAAAGAAGTGATGTTTAATTAAAGTGTTTCATATCCATGGTACTATATTAATTGTGAACAAGTATCTTAATTACAGGGTTGTGTTTTTTTTAACCCCTCTAATAATGGCAACCGGAAGCCATCTTTTAAGAAAAGATCAGGTTGTATGCAGATGCACAAGGTATGCAATCTTATTAGAGAACGATTGCTTGTGAAAGGCAAAACAACAAAACAAATTAGCTCTATTAAAATAATTTCACAAATCCTTTTCCATCCCCCACCCCAAAGGCAAATCATGGTATTATTCTTGTCAATCTAGGATTACAAAGATAATACAAGCAATATTTTGTGAAAGCAATTCAAAGAAAAACCAGAGAAGTGTGCCTGTAAGAAGTAAGCAGATTACAATTTTTTTAAATAAAAAAGACAAAAAAAGAAAACAAAGCGTTCACTGGAGTAATATTTTACTTCTGAGGCATTTCTAATCAAAGCATGAAGACGCAGTGTAGTGGTACAGTTGTTGAAAACTCTTGTTTAAGTATCATAGTCTTTAATTTCAAAACCTCACAGTGGTCTAGCAGTAATTATTTTGGTTGGTTCAGTTTTCCCTGTTGAATTCTAGTAGGTGCAATTATCTAAGCACCATTGTGGTCTATGGGAGCCTCATACAAGCCCCACAGAAATAAATGGAAAATGAGAAGTGGGATTGCATATGATGGCAGTATTTTCTACGCTTTGCATTATGATTATAACCATCACCGCAAAGTTTGCTTTACACACAGAAAAGGCAATGTATGCATGTTTTGACTCTTCAATATGCCATTATTGGAAGGCTGGAAAAATGTGACAATGCATTTAGCAGTTATCTAAAATCTGATAGAAGTGTCCCGAAGCAGCTAGCTGTATTTTGGTGTTGTGTTTACAGCTGTTCTGTGACTAAAAACTATGAATGGTCCAAAACTTAAAAAGAAACCAATACTGGGGTGAAAGTTTTCAAACCATGTGTTTTAAAGAGAAAGTCAAAAGGCATTTCTGAATGCAAAGTTGGCACAATTTTTACTTAATTAAAATTGTGTTCCCACACCTTACAACATGACATTTTTAATACTCTCCTTCAGTTAGTAAAATACATTATGTATAATACAGTTCTAAAGCACTGCTGGTGAAAATATTGGTTTGGATCCAAAGCACCGTGAGCAGAAGTAAAATAGCTACTAGCTCTGTGCTGTAAGAGCTGGCAGGTCACAGAGTGTTCAAACAGATAAGTTCTAGAACAGTTCTCATGCAATCACTAGTCCAAACAGAACCATCAGCTTTAGGTATGCCCTGCAATCCTATGTACTTACTCAAAAGTAAGTCCTACTATGATTAAGTGGTGCTTACTCCACAGTGTGTCTAGGATTGCAGCCTCACGGCACAATCCTATACCTGTCTACTCAGAAGAAAGTCTCAATGAGTTCAGTGGGGCTTATTTTCAGGTAAGCAGGTACAGGATTGAAGCCATAATTTCACTTTTCTTGCGCAACTCTTTAGCATGAGGTATAAAACAGTGCCCATCTAGGAGCACAAAACACCTTCTGTCATGTGTGAAAGAGCACCTTTGGATCCAAGCTATTTTGTCCTGGTGCTGCAACACATGAGCATGCCAAATACGTGAAAAGGGTTTTAAAATACTCTTAGATTATAATAGCATTGGTATCGAGGAAAAAACAATAAACCCAGAAAATGGGTCTGGCATCTAGGGGTACGCACCTCTAGGCATACATAACGAAAACTAGGGCGTGGGAGCGGAGATGAGAGATTAGAAAGTAGGAAAGGCATTGGATAGTAGCAATGCAGCCTCCGTAGACTTCTTTTCCATTTTTCCTGCAAATCTTACTCTATCCAGCCTGAGAATTTTCTGACAGAGAGGATGGTTGTCCAGCTGGAACCATGCCAGCTGCCTAGGTCAGCAAGTGCCGGAACTGGCTTTGACAACAGGTATGCAATACTGATGCAGCATTTAAGCTTTACATATTTGGGAACTGAATATATTTGGGAACTGAAGATATTTTAAACGGGTTCTATCGGCACTGTGTCACGTTTAATTCTTTGATTTCAAGGTTTAAGGACATGGCTTATCTCAAGCAAAATGGAGTGTAAATGGAAGGCAGGGAGCAATGCATGGAACATAAATTTCTCGCCTGCAACAATGGAATGTGTCCAAATTTATTGTCCAATAAAGCATACACAGCAGCAGTTGCTGGTGACAGTGTAGTAGTGTATGCAGTACTGGGGGGGGGACACTTTGTGGAATTAAACACCTAAACTTAATATGCAAGCAATTAAAAATGATTGCAAATGATGACATAGCATCTTCATTTTAATATGAAAGTACCAAACTGATTAATGCATCAAAAATTATCTTTTTGTTTTTTCTATTTCAACAATAACAACAACCCTCCATTAATTTGATGAGTTAAAAACTGCAACAGCTTGGCTTCTGGAGTAAGGAGAATAACATTCCTAGGATTAATTCCATTTTTTAGGGAGCTAGCATCATTTTAAGACACTGAGACAGGATTTTTTTCCAGCTTTTGGTCCAGTATAAGACACAAACACTCTGAGGGAACAGTTACATAACAATTGTGCCCATGCACTTCTCCACATTTAGACCACAACCCTATATGCACTTATCTGTAGCAAGGTCCACAGAAGTTACCGTATTTTTCGCTCTATAGGACGCACTTTTTCCCCTCCAAAAATTAAAGGGGAAATGTGTGTGCGTCCTATAGAGCGAATGCAGGCTGCGCGGCTAAGCCCAAAGCCAGAACAGGGAGACGGAGCACTGCGCAGCGCTCCGTCTTGCTGTTCTAGCTTGGGCTTAGCTGCGCAAAGCCTCTGCAGGGTGGCGGGGTGCCTTCACCCCGCTGCTCTGCGGAGGCTTCAAAGGATGCGCTCCGGGGGCTTCAGGCAGCTATCCACAAGCCTTCGGAGCGCAGCAGGAGTTCCCGCTGCGCTCCGAAGGCTTGCGGATAGCCGCCTGAAGAGCGAGAGGGGTCGGTGAACACCGATCCCTCTTGCTCTCCAGGCTTCACTTCGCTGGAGAGGTGCTGCACAGTTTTCCCTCTCTGCGCAGCGCCCCTTCAGCGAAGCGGGAGCAGAAATAGAAGGGGCTCCGTTTCTCCTACTGCTTCGCTGAAGGGGCACTGAGCAGAGAGGGGGAGAATTCCCCCCCCCCTGTTCTCCCCCTCCTATGGTCCGGTGCATTCTATGGTCCGGTGCGTCCTATAGCGTGAAAAATACGGTATGTCTGAATAGACATGGAGTTGCTGCTAGAGGCTTTCTTGGAATAAATGCCAGACAGACACAATACTCACATTACATGGTAGTGGAAAGACAGCTTCTGTGCCTGTCACGTCTCAGCACAGCCATACAAATCAGTGTGTTTTAAAAATTGGTAAAGACCACAACTTATGGCTTCCCCCACTGATTTGTAGGTGGTGAACTAGTTCTATGAATGGGTATTAAGATGGCAAGACACCGCATCTTCATTTGACACACTTTTTAAAGATCTTCGTATGTAGTAAAGTCATGACCCAGACCCATGCTTGTACTGGCATGACTGATTCAATGCGAACAAGCCTTCAGAAAATGCGAGACTGCCCATGTAATAATATGGATGTGTGAATCAGCCTTTAGAAAGACAGATCTGGGTATCTCACAAATCAAAAGCTGCCCTATATTTTGAAATAAACCATCAGAGAAAGGAATGCCGCTATTTCAAAATGTGTAACCGGGAGTATTTGTTTCGTAGGACCTGTTATCCTGGTTCTTGATGAAGTAGCCATTAACTACGTTTCGGGTAGCAAGTGAAATGGCTGCAATGGGTAGCACAAATACAGATTATTTGCAGTCAAATTAATTAATATTATCAACAAACATACCTTCCTTTTGAGAGGGCAGACTGAAGTATATGGCAAGCAAAATCAGTGTGAAAGTTTATAGAGCAGTACTAAAAGAAACAAAGGCCAAATCTGCCTTTAGACAGAAATCTGCAAGACCTTGCTCCTGCAATTTCAAGTTAATATATTGCAGAGCACTATGGAGTGGAATAGGCACCTTGCTTTGCTGGCTCTGCAGCCAGCTTCTCAGGATCCAGTCACAGTGAAGTCAGGTCTTTTGGGGTCCTTCCCCCCATCTGCAGCGAACCAGCTATTACTCCTGTTAGTTTAAAGTGAGAATTCTAGTTCTTTGCAACTAGGGAGGTTTTTCTTTAGTTTGGCTAAAGATGGAAACCTTTGGGCCTTGCTGTAAAAACAACATTGAGTGCCTTTGCTTTCTGTGCTACTTGAGAATTGCTAAGGTTGTATCTAGCCATGCTTCTCAAGTCTCCTTGCACATGGAACAACCCTGAACCCCAAATGTTTAACACATTCTGCAAATATACAGCTATGGCAGACCACAAAGTTAAAAACATGAAAGGACTGGCAGCGCACAGAATACTGATACATACCTGGGTTTAGAAGTTGATATTGATTCATTCCACTCAGTATTCCATCAACACACGAAGGCTACACAAACATTTTAATACCATTTACATTCATCAGAGATTTAGTACTGTGCATTGCTGCAACCTTTCAAGCATTTCCTCAGCACAACCACCAGTGTTTTCCATAGGCCTTGTGCAGAAGCAATAGCACCACGGATTGCACCCAGAGTCTCCCACTCCTCTGTAGATATTATTTGGCATTTGATAGACGTGAATTTAGCAATGAGAGAGAGAAAATAGCCTGGATGCTTACCGAAAAATTAACACAACAGGGAAGTGCGTAGGAAAGTTAGGCGGCAGATTCCCCCTTAAAGCACAACGAAAAAGGAGAAACTTATCTAGACTCCATTTTCAGAATCCATGTGTGACAGTCTAAATTTCAGAGGAAATGCGAGAAGGCAGAAGAACCAAAGGCTATAAATGTCACCTTTCAAAATCATTTTGAGAACAAGAATTTATACTAAGTACAAGTCTACAAGTCCTTAAGACATTGTGAAAAAGCTTAAGACATACTTGATGATAAAAGGCATGAACTGCAGGAGTTATTGATAAATGCAGCAATAAACTTTGAAGGGCGTACTTAAAGAATGCACTTTGTAATGCGTGTATATATCTAAACAAACATACGCACGGACCATAGATACAGACACCAATTACATATACAAGGCTATACGCTGGTATAAAATCAAAATGTTAAAAGTAAGCTTGATTAGGACTCTACGCTGGTCTGCCTCACTAGTCAGAAAATGAAGCTCAGGCAACTTTGGTCTTGATTGTTCAACCTCACACCTGGAATTGTGAACACTCATTGCACTTTTAAGTAAAACCCAACCCAACCCAACCCTCTCTTTATAACCCCCAAAGCCAACATAATCCAATTCCCAACTATGCTCTTAGAACCATTCCATTGACAAGAAGTAACTTTATAAACCTTGCATCCCCATTTAGAATGCGATAAAGAAAAGAGACCTTTTTAGAAAACTTAAAAGTTCATTTTAACACAAAATGTAAATGAGTTGCTGTTTTATGCGGTTTATACCAGGTAACCTTCGGGTTACTTCTCTAAGGATCTGCTCGGTTGCAGGGGAGGGTCTTGAAGGCATTTTGCTGCTTAGCCTATAGGATAGTGCAGGTCTTTTTATCCTTGAAGGGGTTTTCCGAAGCAGGTATTCCCATTAGTAAAGGATCCTTCCTGGCATGCTCCTCACAGTAGCACATTAGATCTGCCGATGCCTTCGACACCTGAGGAATGTGTGAGAAGGGGCACAGTAAATATGGAGCAGGTTGCCAACAACAGCCAACAAGCAAAATCTTACGAGATTTCGAAGTGATATTTTTACGTTTTGTGTGGAAAAAAATTCCCGAGGCAGAAAAAAGTTCATGTTGATTGAGCCTTTCATGGATTTAGAATAATACTGCATGCCTTCGTAAAATAATTAAAAGCAGCAGAAACCAGCAAATAAAAAAATATGTGAAAGAATAAATCGATGGTCAGATGTTTTGTATATTCCCCACTGTATTGCTGGAAATTATGTGCACTGACTGGGCGATAAACAAAATCTCTTCCTCGTGTTCTTAATTGGTGTACATTTCTTCTCAGTATGTACACCAATTTTCACACAGTGGCATTCTTTTTTAAGTACAATTCTCCACTAAATTCACACTGATGGCACACATACTGTACATATGTGAACAAAATCCCAATATATATGAAGAGAAAGATATCGCTTCTCTCTGGGACTGCCTAGACTAAAGGAACGTGTTCTTAACAGTAGATGGTGATGCGATGATCCTGGTCCGACTGCACTGGCTACTAATTAAGTTTCCGGACCCACTTCAAAGTGCTGGTTTTGACCTGTAAAGCCTTAAACGGCTCAGGACTGCAATACCTCAAGGATCGCCTCTTTCCATATGAACCTACCTGGACCCTGAGATCATCTTCTGAGGCCCTTCTTCGTGTGCCTCCTCCTTGAGAGGTTCAGAGGGTGGCAAGACGAGAATGGGCCTTCTCTGCAGTGGCTCCCTGTCTGTGGAATGCTCTCCCCAGGGAAGTTCACCTAGCACCTTTATTATACACCTTTAGGGGCCAGGCAAAAACGTTCCTTTTTAACTTGGCCTTCGGTTGATCTTATTGACATCCAACACCCTTTTAGAAATGTGTTTTTTGTGGGTGGGTGGGTGGGCTATGGGGTTGTTGTTTTGATTTTTATTAGGTTTTTTGTGGTTTTATATCTTGTTTTTATTTTGTGAACCGCCCTGAGACCCCCGGGTATAGGGCAGTATATAAATTCAATTATTGTTGATAATAATAATAATAATAATAATAATAATAATAATAATAATAATGTGCTCTGGAAAAGCGGGGGAAAGGAGGATTTTTTGCTTTATAAGGCAGATTTAAAGAAACTAATAATAATAAGTTCTTCTTACCTTTATTCTTTCTATAGAAGCTTCTATTCTCAACTGCTGAACAGTTCTTCTGGCCTGAGCTATGTTGTTTGTTGTGCCGGATGTTTTGCTAGACATTTTCACTGAGCTCTTTCAAGCACTGTAAAGAAAAGCCAACTGGTTATTTTTCTACATATCAACAATGGTTTCTGATTAACACTGGCGATGGTTGTTCAGAAAATCCATCTGTTCAAATGGTCTTTGATCTGTGGTTGCTACTAAGCTGGAAATAAAAAAATGATTTCACAGTACAGTAATAAAGCAGCAAAAACTATTGGGAATGTTGGGTTTATAGACATAAATTTTCAGTTTAACAGCTATTCCAGTTCATAACCACAGACATTTTCATTTTCAGATGTGTTACAGAGGGAAACTACCAAGGGAATTTGACTTCTGTTTAAGATCTACTTGTTCCACTACCTTAAAAAATAAGAAGGGACAATATGTCATCATTATCATCAATAGCAATAGTTCCACGACATGAATGTACAAAGGGTTTTATTCTTCAGTTGCTCCCCTGTGAAATTAGGGTTGGGATCCCCATGATTTCATCTGCCCACATCTGCTTGTGCCAGTATCAATTAAGAGGAATAGAACAATTTCATCTTTAAAAAAATAGTTTACAGTCATACCTTGGTTGCTGAATGCCTTGGAACTCGTACGTTTTGGCTCCTGCATGATCGAAAACCAGAAGTGAATGTTCCGGTTTTCAAACGATTTTTGGAAGCTGAACGTCCAGCGTGGCTTCTGCGGCTTCCGATTGGCTGCAGGAGCTTCCTGCAGCCAGTTGGAAGCTACACTTCGGTTTTGGAAGTCGAACGGACTTTTGGAACGGATTCCATTCAACTTCCAAGGTATGACTTTATATCCTATTTTTTCTCCAAGGAGCTCAAAGTGGTATACACACTTCTCCCCTTCTCCAGTTTCTCTGTCACAACGACCCTGTGAGGTAGGTTAAGCTGAGAGACTGTGACTGGCCCAAGGTCACCCAGTGAGCGTTAAGGCTGAGTGGGGATCTGAACCCAGGTCTCCAAAGTTGTAGTCCAGCACTCCCCCCCCCCTCATCAGGGAGCAGGGGATGTGCTATGTGGAGTGAGTTCATGCATCTCTACTTGCTCTCCAAACAAATGGGAGCATTAAAGTCCCAGGTACATTTCTATATACAGTGGTACCTCGGGTTACAGACGCTTCAGGTTACAGATGCTTCAGGTTACAGACTCCGCTAACCTGGAAGTAGTACCTCAGGTTAAGAACTTTACTTCAGGATGAGAACAGAAATTGTGCGCTGGCAGTGCGGCGGCAGTGGGAGGCCCCATTAGCTAAAGTGGTGCCTCAGGTTAAGAACAGTTTCAGGTTAAGAATGGACCTCCAGAACAAATTAAGTTCTTAACCTGAGGTACCACTGTACACTGAATTCCTCACCTTTTCCTCCCCTTCACAATCCAAAGCAGAAATATTACTTCCTTTCCTTTTTAAGGTTTGGGGTGAATGTGGCAGATCACGCTAACAGCACTTTATTATCTTAATCATTTGCTCAAATGCACAACTTTGTTTCTACTTATCTTTTCAATATTCAAGTTCTAATAGACCCATTTCCCCCCATTTAAATCCGTGTTCCTTCAGAAAATGACGGTGCTAAAACTGATTCAAAGTAATGCTCACCAGTGTTTATTCCAGGGATGGGAAAGCTGTGTGGCCCTCTAGATGTTGGACTCTAGCTTTTGTCAACCCCAGATAGGGTGGCCAATGGTCATGGGAGTTGTATTTCCAAAATCCACCACTAATTACTATCCCTAGGTTATTCTCTGGTCCCATGATGCAAAGGACCTTTTCAGAACCCAAATATTTCAAAGGCATTTTTAAAAATACCACGTAATTTCTTCTAAATTCTAAGCTCTAAATACATCTACAGAAGGTGTCTCTGTGTTGGAAATCTGCAGTGATGTGAGAATATAAGTGATTCAAAAGCAGAAGAAAGATACTATGGTATTTTTTTAAAAAAAGATCAAATCCCTTTTCTTTGGCCAATCCAAACAGTATTGTTCCTCACTTTTGGACTTGACTGCATAGCCGAGAACAAGAGTTCAAAGAAGCAACTGAGTCACAGGGTTTTAACAATCCTACGACTGGCTGCCTTCCAATGAATCGTCAAGACTTTGATCATCGTGTTTAGCCAAAGCCTGACCACAGTAGCACATGACAGCCTCTGCAATGGCATATGAGTGGCTAAAATGCAATTCCTGAACAGATTTCAAGGTTATATCTGAAATGGTGCCAAATACTAAAATGTTTACTGATAGTTACGTGCGTAGATGCTCTGTTATAGCCAAACTCTATGAAGTAATAAACAAGATTATTGCATCTTGTGTAAGCAAACAGAAAAAACACAGAAAAACAATAACAATACCAAGTCTGGCTCTGACTGGCAAAGACAAAAAATCCCAACTCCTAAAACCAAACTGCAGCTCAAAAACATTATCAGTCTGAGCTCAGGTTGGTACTTTCACCCTTTTGCAGTTTACAGTAAGGTGTAAATCACTTAAGGCTTTGAAAATACTTTTTCGTCACTATATTCCCAATAGTGCATTCTGTTACAGCTCCCCCCCCCCAGGTAATACTAACACTTTGTACTGTATGTTGTAAACCTACTGAATTACAGAGCTGTCTTCAAAAGCCATAGCCTTATTGAGATGTCCAACTCAGTCAAGGGGGAGATTCTTAATGGGCATCCAAGATTAGTAACGGATTGGATGTGGGCTAACAAACTGAAGTTTTGTCCAAGCGGCAGAAGATCAGCTAATCCAGCAATAAGGTTTTGGCCCTCTAAAAACCATGTTGACTTTTAATTAGGCAGTAAACGGGTGGCGCTGTGGGTTAAACCACAGAGCCTAGGGCTTGCCGATAGGAAGGTCGGTGGTTTGAATCCCCGTGATGAGGTGAGCTCCCGTTGCTCGGTCCCTGCTCCTGCCAACCTAGCAGTTCAAAAGCACACCAAAGTGCAAGTAGATAAATAGGTACCGCTCCAGCGGGAAGGAAAACAGCATTTCCATGTGCTGCTCTGGTTCGCCAGAAGTGGCTTAGTCATACTGGCCACACGACCCGGAAGCTGTACACCAGCTCCCTCGGCCAATAAAGCGAGATAAGTGCCGCAACCCCAGAGTGGTCCGTGACTAGACCTAACGGTCAGGGGTCCCATTACCTTTACTATCACCCAGCCCCTTTTTCTGTCTTGCTTGTTTTTAGTTGTTGTTTCATTACTTATTAGATGCATTTACCCCTTTTGATCATTATGAGACACTGCCACTCTAAAAGCCACCTACACTGGCACAGCTAGTTTTTCTTGTGAACACATGCCAATTCTATGCATATAACACCTATAGAAAAAGAGCAGGGGCTCCATAACAAAACATGTAGACAAGTACACAGCCAGTATAATCCATGAGAAATAGTGTCCAGAAGGGAGGGAGGACTGTAATCCAAAGTCCTGCAGTAAGAACATGTATTAACGGGATCAGCTGCAGTGTAGGTGGCTATTAGAGTATCAGATCTCAGCAACGGCTTGTGCCAGACTGCACAAATGTGTCATCGTCCAAGCTTCCTGGCAGCAAATTCAGTTCCTACCCCTTTCCTAGCAAAGTAATCTCTTTGTGGGTTGGAGGTGAGAGGGAATGCAGCATAGGACATGCTGTTATTTATAAGGGAAGGGAGGGCCACTTTCAATTTGTTTTTTGTTTTTGTTAGGAAATCTCATCTGATGAACTTGGTTCATTTTAGAAAGCCAGAGAAGAGCGCTCACTACTGCAAGCAAACACCCCAGCCTTAATGGTGACATACACGAGGGTCACTAATTGTGCAGTGCAATAGCTTTTGCGTAGCTTGCATGCCAGACCAATGCCGCAAGTTGTGATGGCAGCTCGCCACACCCGAAGTTTCAGCTCCGACTGAGTCACTGGCTGCCTCCATAATCCTGAACAGCAAAGGATAGGCATGTTAGGTTAAAGGTCTTCTGATAAAAACTCATTTCATAAAAAATGTGGGGAACTAGAACAAAAAGCTTTGTGGCACCATAAAGCCTATCACATTTATTTTGTTTGCTTTCTATGATTAGTTTTTTTATGGTGCCACAAGACTCATTCGTTCTTTTTGCTAGAGCAGCCTAACATGGGGAACCAGGACTGTATGCATACCAGATATTTAAAGCCCCTCTCCCCTGGGAACTGTAGTTTACCTCTCAAATAGCTATGGTTCCCAGCACTCTTAGCATACTACACTTCCCAAGATTCTGTGGGGGGGGGGCGTGTCTTCCAAAGCATTCCAATCCATTTTTTCTCTCTGCCCAGTTTGCCTCTCTCCAAACAGACTTTCACCATTTCAAGCTGTTCCTCATTTGGCTTGGGGTGGGGGTTGGAATTTTTTTTAAAAAAGTATTTGCTTGTAATTCCACAAAACATGGAGTTCTCTCAAACCTACCAATATATGCTGCTGCCATTTTGGCTACATAAAGCTCAGCATTTGGACAATGAGATCATTGTTAGATTTGGGATCTAAGGGGTACTCTTGCCGCTGAAACTTACTATAAAACTGGAGGCATAGAAAACAGCTATACAATACATTTATTGCAAAAGCGTAGTCCTGTTCTGCAGAGGAGACCCTGAGCTGATTGGGATCCCATACAGAGCTAATGCTATTGCAGTGGTATGAGTGATGGAGTGGAGGAAGGGGTGGTGTCAAATTATTCCAAGTACGGCAGCTCTACTATTTGACCTAATGAACTGCTTGTACCACTGGAATTTGGACAGTTAATCAGAAATTGCTCATTTCCAGATATATGGATGATAAGGCTGCTCAGAGCAACCGTTTTGTTTTGTTTTTCCAAAAACAAAAACTTTAGTCACTGAAGAATGCATAATACCATGTACATTTTTTGTGTGTGGAAAGGATAAAACGTTAAAATCTTACTGACTCGCTTTAGAGGTTCTGCTAGCTATGCATGTAAAACGCTTGAGTACCACAGAATCAGGAGTGCATGCAGTTCACAGACAAAAAAAACAACCCCTGTAACAAGATCACATTTCCTGTTGTGAAACTAAGTAAATAAAA